GAGCAGTTCAACAAGTGGGAAGAGGGGAGGGAGGCAATAGAGACCAATTGCCTGAACTCCAGCATACACAGATACCTTTTTGCGATGCTGATTAATATACATTATCCTAAAAACAACATAAAAAAAAGAAAACTCATTAGTATACCAGAAGAATCACATTACAAGATTGATTTTAACTTAATGTGTTTCTTGATTTTTCAGATATTGTATATATTTTTTTAGAAACACATTTTGTGTTCTATGGGGAAAAATATATTACATGTAATATATATTATATGTACTCAAATATGTAAAAAAAAAAAAGACATTATGGAGCTGTAATTTTAATACCGCAATATTTTTGCTCATGGTTATTATACCTTCAGAATCTAATATCTTGCCATGCCTAATCCCATTCAACCCGGATGGAAGTTAAGCAAGTGAGCCACTCTGCAAGTCAATGGCAAATAATGCACCTGAATGAACATGGTGAGGAAAAAAGAAAACATTTACAAGAGTTGCGAACAGCTATTAAGGCCGCTCACAACCCGGACCACTTTAGGGAATTGGCACAAAGGAAGTGTATTTTTATTTATGTATTTATTTATTTATTGGCACAGTAAACCTTAAATATGGTTAATTTTTTTTTTTTTTGGCAAGACATTAAGGGATTTCAGCATCTACGGTCTATATCAGGGGTGGCCAACCCGCGGCTTGCGAGCCGCATGCGGCTCTTTGGCTGGTTGAATGCGGCTCCCGGGCTTGCACATGACAAGCATCGAAAACGCCTCAGCAGTGGCGCTGCCATTCAAAAAACGGCGCAAAGAACAGCAGAATTTACGATGTCAGCCTGTCATCAATCCCGTTACTTGATTTACATACAGGGCAACCAGTCAGATGACAACTGAATTTCGACCTTTTGGTCATCGCTCATGCGCAAACAATGGTGCTAAGCGCTAAGCTCGTCAGGAAATTAAGTCTGATTTTAAGGCAGGGGTGCCCAATATGTCGATCGTGATTGACCAGCAGACTGGTCCTAAATTGACCGCGAGGGGTGGGAGGAGAAAATGGCGGGAAAAAAAGATTTGTGTGTCTGTGTGTTTCGGTTTCGGTCATATTCCGGCTGTACCTCATCGTGGCGTGCGTGTGCGCGTGTGTATGTATATGCTTGCACGTGAGACCCGATCGCGGGAGGTTGGTCGCTTCAAAAGACGATCTTCGGTCAAAAACGTTTTGCCCTATGTGGCAAGCTGACCCGAGTAATAAGTAACTGCTGCAACTGTGCCTGTTTTGAGTGGCAACAACGGAATACAACCTCGATTTGAAGAGGATTGTTCAAGAGAAGGAATGCCAGAAGTCCCTGCACCAAGGCGCGAAGCAACATGCCTAGTAAGAGAAAAACGTTATTATATTTTTGTTTGTGGACTTGGTTGAACTGAGATTTGTGTGTGTGAGACAGTGCACACAATATTCATTGTTGAAAATGACTGGCCTGTGGTACCGTAGGAGTCCATTTCTGTCATTATCATGGTGTGTGACATTTACAATCAATCTCGTTGAGCAGAGGTCTGTGTGTGTGCGTGCGTGCGAGAGGAAGGGATGGGGTGATGTTGATGTGTGCCCATGTGTATGATGTGGCTCTTTGCAGTAATGCAGTAAAAAAAAATTGCCTCTTAGGCTCTGACTGGTTGGCCACCCTTGGTCATCATCAAAGGTTTCAGAGAATCTGGAGGAATCACTGCGTATAAGCAGCAAAGCCGAAAACAAACATTGAATGGCCTTTGATCCCTCAGGCGGCACTGCATCAAAAACCAACATCAATGTATTAAGAATATCAGTTCGCAACATCCATAAGTGCAGCTTAAAGCTGTATTACGCAAAGCAAAAGTCATTTATCAACAACCAGAAATGCCACCAGCTTCTCTGGGCCGAGGTCATCTAAAATGGACTGATGCAAAGTGGAAAAGTGTTCTGTGGTCTGACAAGTCCACATGACAAATTGTTTTTTGAAATTGTGAATGTCATGTCCTCTGGGCCAAAGAGGAAATGAACCATCCGAACTGTTGTGTACCGTATTTTCCGCACTATAGGGCACACCAAAAAGTCTTCCATTTTCTTAAAAGCTCACAGAGGGCCTTAAAACCCGGTGCGTCTTGTGTATGGTCATTACGGTAATATGTTGACCCAAGATGGCTCCTTGCTGGAGACATGCTCACAATGTTATAACTTGCTGTTGGTTCAGTGAACTGTGTCACTGCTTTATTAAATAAATTTTTGTTGCGGCTCCGAAAAAAGGAGAGCTGTGGTGTTTTTTTTTTTTTTTAAACAGTCTCAACAAATGCAGGTACATCTTTGTCCGTCTCCGTGCATTCAAGTCTTCAGTTCGACTCGAGAGGCGTTCAAGACAATTTGGCATTGTCTGAGGGAATTAAGCACAAATAACCACATTGTGCACATCCGTTGCTTCGGAATAAAAGAGTGTGGGTACTTGACAGGCCTGCCTGCCGCCGATGCTATCCCCTACTGAAAACGTGTAGCAAATTATGAAGAGTTGGAGACACTGGACTATTGTACAGCTGAAGCTGTACATCAACCATGAATCTAAAAGAATTTCACCTACAAAGTTTCAACAATTAGATTCCCCAGTTTCTAAAAGTTAATTGAAGAGTCCAAAAAAGACCTGATAGGACTCCTCCTTTAGCTCGACGGCAAACCTTACTGCCGGTGTACATCAGCGGGTCTGGGGGTTGCCGCCACGACAAGCACCAACCACTTCACAGCCACAACTCCGATGAGCTGCCTCAACAATAGACGTGCGGAACATGGTCCACTTAGGCTCAATGTCCAGCACCTGTCCCGGGGCATGAGCAAAGCTCTGCCGAAGGTGGGAGTTGAAACTCTTTCTGACAGGGGATCTGCCAGTTGCTCCCACCAAACTCTCACAATACGTTTGGGTCTGCCAGGTCGGACTGGCATCTTCCCCCAGCATCATAGGCAACTCACCACTCCATGGTGAATAGTTAAGAGCTCCTCACCTCTCTTCACCCGAGTGTCCAAAACATGCAGCCGCAAATCCGATAATACAAACACAACATGGATCATTAAAGTGCGGCCAAGTGTCCTGGTGCCAAGTCCACATATAGACACCTGAATGAACATGGCATGTTTTTTTTTCTGCGTTCAAAGTTGTGTGGCAGACACCTTCAGCTAATTCTGTGCCACCTCCAGCCAGACCGATTAATCTCGCTCAATGCAGCGTAAAGCTCCAGCTGTGCTGATTAAGCAATGTATGTCCCTCTGCAGTTGCAGTGTTACACCACTATTGAGGCGCTATATCAACAGCATTGCAGCAGAAACACCTGAAGCAACCACTGAAGAAGAAACAGATTGAATCGTGGTTTGTTTGTCCCGCTAGTCTGTGCTTTTTTTTTTTTTGCATCCAAGCATGTCGTGTTTATCAAAAAATAAGTTTCCTTCGTGTCAAAGTAACGTTTGATTTTTAGCATTGCAGATATGGCAGGGAAAATCAGCCACTTTTTGAAAGGCGACCCCGCAAGGAGGAAAGTCAAGCGCACAGGTGAGACAGAGAATTTAACATAATGTGTAGTTAAAAGGTACTAAATCATGACGTTGACAACATGCTGGAAATGTGGCATGAAATCCTGGTGATAAGGAGGGTCAGAAGTCAGGACAGGATGAATCAGTGAGGCGAGGGTATATAAATCCGTTTACAATTGGAAACAATACAAAGCAAACGCGTAGGTGATTAAAACATTTTCTTTGATTCCTCTTTGCATATCCCCTCAAAAACAAACGAGCCAGTGGCTTTGACAAGCAGTGGCTAAGTCAATTTACTTGCTTCAGGCATACTGAGGAAGGCATGCACTGTAATTTATGCCAAAAGCACTGTGCCCCAACACAGCCATCAACCAACTACAGGCTGGAACCAAGAAATGAGGTGACGGTCATTCACAAAGCAGCAGAAGGGGCGGAAATTTATATTAAAGCTGGTAGTACCTAAAAACACTCAACTAATAAAGTTACAAAAACTAAAATAGAGTTTAGACGGACAGCTTAAGTTTTTTTTTTTTCGTTTTGCGTTTTTTTTTTTGTTCGGAGGACACTGCAGCATGCTATTGCAGCATAGGTGGACATCGACCATTTATATTAAAGCTGGTAGTACCTAAAAACACTCAACTAATAAAGTTACAAAAACTAAAATA